AATTGCTCCAGGAGCCGGGGTGCCACTGGCTGATCTCGGGGGAGTATCGGTCATCAATCCAGTCGATATCAGTTCTCACATTGCTTTAAATGCGGATTTAGGCGCGCACCCCGAAGGGAGTGTGCGTAGGGAAGGCCGATCTGGTGGCCAAGGAACACAGGGCGTAGACGGGGGAGTTAGTCTCCAGGTAATATTCGAGATGCTACAGGCTCAGCAGGCTTCTATTGCTCAGCTTCAAAGTCAACATAGAACTCCGAGTTTGGTCGAACCAGAAATCACTCGTCGTACCGAGCCAGTAACACAAAAAGGTCGAATGGTGACGGATCAGGGACTGATCCTATTTTTATGAAGATGCTCGTGGAGCTCGCCAAAATAATCGAGTTGGGAGAGAAAAAATCGAAGATATTGATAAAAATGTGGAAACATACAACTCCCGAGTTAATCATATACCGGGGGCACCCCCGATCTTAAAAGGTTTAGATGCAAAAAAGTTTGTGCAAAAGCCTTTTCCTTAGAGTGCGTCTCCTAAGCCCATTCCTAAGAAGTTCGGTATGCCGGATATACCTAAATACAAAGGGACAACCGATCCTAATGAACACATCAACGTCGTACACATGCGGAATTAAAGGGAATGACTTAATGATGATGAGATCGAGTCGGTTTTGTTGAAAAGAATTGGGGAAACTTTGTCAAAGGGAGCAATGAATTGGTATCACAATCTGCCACCAAATTCCATCGACTCATTTGCCATGTTAGCATACTCCTTCGTGAAGGCACACGCCGGGGCCATAAAGGCCGCAACAAGAAAATCGGACGTTTTTAAGATAAGACAGGAAAGATGAAATGCAAAGGGAGTTCATATCCCGATTTCAAATGGAACGCAAGGAGTTGCCACCGGTCACAGATGATTGGGCCATTTAAGCTTTCACCCAAGGGTTAAATGAGCGGAGTTCGATAGCATCACGACAGTTGAAACAAAATTTGGTCAAGTATCCAGCTGTAACTTGGGCAGATGTGCACAATCGATATCAATCGAAGATCAGGGTCGAGGACGACCAATTAGGAGCCCCTCCGGTTAAGTACATCCAAACAGATTATCAGTTAAAACCCCGAGGGACATCGACAGGGAATCAAGGTCGAACAGGGAACGATATCAACCATATACCACGGATCGAAGGAAAAATGGTTCGGGATGTAATCCCTCTCGGAATGATCGAAGAAACGATCAAGGACCAAATTCTTGGGGACTTATGAGTAAAAGCGGTTTTGATAAGCGTGCTCATCCCGTAGAGGCACCTCGGTTATCAGAATATAACTTTAGCGTCGATGCGTTAAGCATTGTATTGGCAATCGAAAGGATCAAAGATACTAGATGGCCCAGACCCATACAAACCGATCCTTCCCAAAGAAACCCATATTTGATGTGCAAGTATCGTGGCACGCATGGTCACAAGACCTAGGATTGCAGGAAATTTAGGGAAGGGGTAGCTCGTCTAGTCAACGAGGGCCACCTTCGAGAGTTCCTTAGCAATCGAGCCAAGAATCATTTCAGAGACAGAGACGCCGACAGGAAAAATGAACAAGAGGAACCTCAACATGTCATCTATATGATCGTCGGCGGTTTCGATATTCTGCAAGGGCCCGTATTCAAACGCACTAAGGTATCAATCACTAGGGAGAAACAGACCCGGGATTATGTATCCGAGGGCTCCTTGTCATTCAACGACAAAGAAGCATAAGGCATTTCTCAACTACACAAAGACGCTTTGGTAATTTTTATCTTATTAAAAAAAGTTCAAGTTAAGAGTGTTTTAGTGGATCCAGGTAGCTCGGTGAATATCATCCGATCGAGGGTCGTGGAGCAACTCTGCCTACAAGATCAAATTGTGCCCGTATCTCGGGTCTTAAATAGCTTCAACATGGCTAGTGAAACAACTAAAGGTGAGAATGATCTGCTGGTGAACGTGTTCGAAGCCATTCAAGATACCAAGTTCCACGTGATCGAGGGTGATATGAGGTACAATGCCCTACTCGGGAGGCATTGGAACCATAACATGAGGACAGCTCCTTCGACTCTCCACCAAATGATGAAATTCCCGACGTTGGATGGCATGAAAATAGTGTACGGGGAGCATCATGCTGCAAAGGAAATATTTGCAGTTGACGAGGTAATACCGGTATCAACATTATCAACCTTGGAAAGGTCGAGCATCAAAGGTAAACATGAAACCAAATATCAATCACAGCCACTTGCCTCGACCGAATCGGGAAAGCAGGAGATAGAAGAAGAAGATGAGGATTTTCTGACCCCTCGAACCTTTATCGTACCCGAAGATTTCGACGCCACCAAATCAACGGTCGAAGAGCTGGAATAGGTTATACTGATCGAGTACCTGCCCGAGCGAAAGGTATCCCTGGGAACGGGGTTAACCCCCAAACTCAGGAAAAAGCTTATTCAGTTTCTTATTGATAACATGAATTTTTTTGCTTGGTCCCATTTAGACATGACAGGGATCCCACCGGAGATAACGACGCATCGACTAAGCCTGGAGCTTAGGTTCAAACCGGTGAAGCAAAAGAGAAGACCCCAGTCCAAGGTAAAGAACGCATTTATAAAGTACGAGGTAAAGAAACTTCTCAAAATAGGGTCCATTCGGTAGGTAAAATACCCCGAATGGTTAGCCAATGTAGTCGTAGTCCCTAAAAAAGGGAACAAACTTAGAAGGTGTGTAGAGTATAAGGACTTAAACAAGGCATGTCCCAAAGATTTCTTTCCACTACCTAACATCGATCGCATGATCGACGCCACGGCTGGCCATGAGAGCCTTACCTTTCTCGATGCCTATTCCGGGTACAATCAAATTCAAGTGAAACCGGAAGACCAGGAAAAGACTTCGTTTATCACCAAGTATGGAACATATTGTTATAATGTAATGCCCTTCGGGCTAAAAAATGCAGGAGCTACTTACCAACGCCTAGTAAATAAGATGTTCGAAGAACAAATAGGTAAGTCAATGGAAGTTTATATTGAGGAAATATAACATGAAACTCAACCCCTAGAAATGTGCTTTCAGGGTCGGCTCGGGCAAGTTCCTGGGCTTCATGGTGTCAAATTGGGGGTTCGAGATTAACCCCGATAAAATCAAGGCCATCGAAGACATCACCATGGTGGACAGTGTAAAAGTCATGCAGAGGCTAATTGGACGGATAGCTGCTTTAGGCCAATTTATCTCTAGGTCATCAGATCAAAGCCACAGATTTTTCTCTTTTCTCAAGAAGAAGAAAGATTTCACCTAGACCCCGGAGTGTCAACAAGCATTAGAGAAATTAAAGCGATACCTATCGAGCCCACCATTGCTTCACACTCCGAAGGCAGATGAGAAACTTTACTTATACTTGGCGGTATCAGAAATCGCGGTGAGTGGTGTCCTAGTTCGAGAACAACAAGGTACGCAATTTCTCGTTTACTATGTAAGTCGAACCTTAGGAGAAGCAGAAATTAGCACTTGCACTAATAAGCGCTTATAGAAAGTTAAAACCATACTTTCAATGTCACCCCATATGTGTGTTATCCACTTACCCACTTAGTAATATTTTGCACAATCCCGAAATTTCGAGCTGATTGGCCAAATGGGCCGTCGAACTCAGTGGGTACGATGTCGAGTATCAACCCCGAACGATCATCAAGTCTCAAATTTTAGCAGACTTCGTGGCCGATTTTACGCCAACACTCGTACCCGAAGTTGAAATTTTAGCAGACTTCATCGGGGGTATAGACCCTTTTCAAAGACGGCGCTTCTAATGTGAAGTGGTCTGGGCTAGGCATCGTTCTGAAGCCACCCACAGGTAGCACTATTAGGCAGTCTGTCTGTTACATCTCGCGTTTCTCGTACGTTAAAGTTTCGTCTTCGGTTAATTGACCTAGACTCGGGGATGAGATTATCTTGAGGTTAGAATATTTATTCTATTTATAACAAGCGATAAGTAAGTGCCATGAAGGATAAAAGTTACGCGAATTAAAGAAAATGAGTTTCGTTGAAGGTTGTCAATTTGGGATAAAATACGGTCCGAGCTTTAATACCCGATACTTATGGACTAGTACCATACATGGTACCTTATGACCGTGATAGTATGATGTATAAAGTATTTTAAAAATGAGTAGAATTTTAAGTAATTTGAGATAATTTTAAATTATGTGGATAATTGGTTAATTACCGGGTAACGGGACATTACCTAATTACCAAATAAGTTGGATAAAGATTAAAAATTCTCTCCCCACCCCCACATGGCAGCAAGCCCCTTATTAAGCAAATGACTCTTGGTCACAGGGTTATAGGTATGACCGTTATACTCTGTCAGGACCAGGTGAGAGCTCCCAGGCGTCACGTTTGCAGCGACAACGAGGTTCGGGGTAGACATGGCAATTTCTGCCGCGGTGTGCCAACTACGGTAGAAGACACTTGGGCCAATGCTGAGCCGGTTCCGATGCTTGTTATACATGTGGACGACCGAGGCATATGATGCGAGATTGCCCGAATAGAGATTTTGGGGGTGTGGCGCAGCCAGCAAATTCAGCAATAGGATCATCTATGTCTGTGCATCCTTCAGGGCGTGAGTCTCAGTCTTCCACTGGTACAGGTCGAGGCAGAGGTAGAGGTTCCAGTTCATGTGGTAACCAGAATCGTAGCTATGCGTTAGCGGGTCGACAGGACCAGGAGTCTTCACCAAACGTTGTGACAGATATGTTGACCATTTGCTCTCTCGATGCTTATACCTTGATAGACCTAGTATCTACTTTGTCGTGTATTACCTCATTTGTCGCCGGGAAATTTGGTATAGTGATTGAAATACTAAGTGATCCTTTTGCGGTATCTATACCGGTCAGAGAATCGATTATTTCTAGACGGGTTTACCGAGGTTGTACGGTGTCAGTTTGTGGTCGTCAGACTTCTGCCGACCTAATTGAGCTAGAGATGTAGGATTTTGATGCCATCGTGGGCATGGACTGGTTGGCAGCTTGCTATGCCACAGTTGATTGTCGAGCAAAGATAGCTAGATTTCATTTGCCGGATGAGCCCGTCCTTGATGGGTAGGTAATACAGCGACACCCAGAGGTAGGTTTATTTACTATCTGAAGGCGAGTAAATGATCGCACAAAGGTGCATTTATCATATTGTGCGAGTTAAAGATGGAGATGCTGAGATACCTACACTTTAGTCTATTCCAGTAGTCAAAGAGTACGCAGATGTATTTCAAGATGAACTTCCAAATATTTCTCCAGAGCGAGAATTGATTTTGGCATCGATTTGCTTCTGGGAACGCAACCAATATCCATCCCTCCGTATAGAATGGCACCTGCCGGATTGAAGGAGCTGAAGGAGTAGTTAAAAGATTTGCTGGAGAAAGGTTTCATCAGACCTAGTACCTCACATTGGGGTGCACCGGTACTGGTTGTACGGAAGAAAGACGGCTCACTGAGGATGTGTATCGATTATAGCAACTGAACAAGGTAACTATTAACAATAAGTATCCACTTCCAAGGATAGACGACTTGTTTGATCAGTTGCAGGGAGCTAGATACTTTTAAAATATATGTTTGAGGTCGGGGTACTACCAGGACAGAGCTCGAGAGAAAGATAATCCCAAGACAGCCTTCAGGACCCGATATGGCCACTTCGAGTTCCTTGTCATGTCCTTCGGGTTGACGAATGCACATACCATATTTATGGACTTGATGAATAACCTATTCTGGCCATATTTAGATATGTTCGTGATAGTCTTTATTGGTGATATTCTGATTTATTCACGTTCAGAGAATGAGCATGTGGACCACCTACAAGCGGTACTCCAATCCCTCCATGATATTAAATTGTATGGTAAGTTTTCTAAATGTGAGTTATGGTTGGAGTCTGTAGCATTTTTGGGGCACATTGTATCCGATGGAGGTATAAAGGTAGACACTCAGAAGATTGAGGCTGTGAAATCCTGGCCTAGACCTACCACTCCGACAGAGATTCGTAGCTTTCTAGGCTTAGTAGGACACTACTGGAGGTTCGTAGAAGGTTTTTATTCTCCTCAAGCACCATTAAGAAATTTGACGCAGAAAGCAGCTAAGTTTCAGTGGACAGAGGCCTGTGAGCAAAGTTTCTAGGAGCTTATGAACAGGTTGACCTCAGCGTCAGTTCTAGTACTTCCAGAGGGTCCAGATGGTTATGCCATGTATTGTGATGCCTCAGGTGTCGGGTTAGGATGTGTCCTGATGCAACATGGGAAGCTGATTGCGTATGCTTCAAGGCAGTTAAGGAAGCAGGAATGAAATTATCCGACCCACGACCTCGAGTTAGTTGCGGTTGTCAATGCACTTAAGATATGGCGGCATTATTTATATGGTGCTCATGTTGATGTATTCACAGATCATAAAAGCCTGCAATATATCTTCAAGCAAAAAGAGTTGAATTTGCAACAGGGGCGATGGCTTGAGTTATTGAAAGATTACGATGTTAACATTCTCTACCATCCAGGGAAAGATAATTTTGTAGCAGATACCTTAAGTTGCCGATCTATGGGTAGCTTAGCACATGTAGAGGCTGAAAAAAGACAATTACCTTGAGAGATTCATCAATTGGCTTGTTTGGGGGTTCGGTTACTAGACTCTGGCATTGGTGGAGTTGTACTCCAAAATACTGCAAAATCATCTCTCATAGCTGAAGTAAATGAGGGGTAGTACGAGGACCCAGAGTTGGTCGAGTTGAGAGAGCGAGTTCCGTGCCAGAAGAAGCCGTTGTTAGAACTCAAGATGGGGTTCTCAGATACAGGGGTTGTTTGTGTGTTCTAGATGTAGCAGGGCTACGAGACAGGATTATGTCAGAGCCACATTATTCGTGGTACTCCATTCACCCTGGGTCGACGAAGATGTATGATGAGATTAAGGATGTGTATTGGTGGAACGATATGAACAAGAATATTGCTGAGTATGTTGCTCAGTATCCTAGTTGCCAGTAGGTGAAGATAGAGCACTAGAAGCCCGAAGGGCTAATGCAGACTATAGATATCCCGACATGGAAATGGGAGGCGATAAACATGGACTTTATCACGGGTTTACCTCGTTCTCATCTTAAGTTTGATTCCATATGGGTGATAGTCGGTAGGCTCACGAAATCAGCTCATTTCCTACCGTCAGATCTACATATACAACAAAAGATTATGCAAAACTATATATTAAGGAGATAGTGCGACCACACGGAGTACCAATATCTATTATATCTGGCCGTGGGGCCCAGTTTATAGCACATTTTTGGAGATCATTATAGAAAGGTCTAGGAACTCAAGTGAATCTCAGCACAACTTTTCATCCACAAACTGATGGACAAGCCGAGCGTACAATTCAGACGCTCGAGGATATGTTACGAGCATGTGTGCTGGATTTTAAAAGAATTTGGGATGACCATCTACCTCTTATCGAGTTTGCATATAATAACAGTTACTACTTCAGTATCCAGATGGCTCCGTACGAGGCTTTGTATGGGCGCAGGTGCAGATCTACTATAGGGTGGTTTGATGTTGGAGAATCTGGGTTACATGGGCCAGACCTAGTTCAGCAGGCCATAGAAAAATTGAAGCTTATCCGGGAGCGACTGTTGATAGCTCAGAGTCGTCAGAAGTCATATCATGATGTGCGGCGATGAGATTTAAAGTTCAAAGTTAATGACTGGGTATTCTTAAAGGTGTCACCTATGAAGGGTGTGATGAGGTTTGGCAAGAAAGGCAAACTTAGCCCACGGTATATTGGGCCTTATAGGATCATTCGGAGAGTGGGCCAAGTAGCTTATGAGTTAGTATTGCCCTCGAAATTGGAGTCTGTCCATCCGGTTTTTCACGTATCTAAGTTACGGAAGTGCATTGGCGATCCAACCCGAGTGGTGCCCATGGATGATGTAGAGATTACAGAGGACTTGTCATACGAGGAAATTTCGGTTGCCATCCTAGACCGACAAATCCGCAAGCTACGGAATAAAGAGGTAGCCTCCGTAAAGGTCTTATGGACAAGCAAGAATGTGGAAGAGATGACGTGGGAAGCGTAGGAAGAAATGAAGTCTAAATACCCCCACCTATTTCAAAATGGAGATATGGCTCGAGATGTGATACCTCAGCACAGCCCTATTCAGGCCAGTAGGTCCTCAGGTAAGCTCTTATTTTTGATTTACCGAATTTATTATAGACAGCTGTGTGAGGCCAAGTGTGGCATGTATATCATATTTTCTTACTTCGCGCAGGGTGGTTTTAGTCTAGTGTACGGAGGAGACTCTGGCAAAAATTTTCCAAGGTATCTAATCGTAAACATTCGAGGACGAATGTTTCTAACGGGGGAAGGATATTACATCTCGCGTTTCTCGTACGATAAAGTTTCATCTTCAGTTAATTGACCTAGACTCGGGGATGAGATTATCTTGAGGTTAGCATATTTATTCTATTTATAACAAGCGATAAGCAAGTGCCATGAAGGATAAAAGTTACACGAATTAAAGAAAATGAGTTTCGTTGAAGGTTGTCAATTTGGGATAAAATACGGTCCGAGCGATAATACCCGATACTTATGGACTAGTACCATACAAGGTACCATATGACCGTGATAGTATGATGTATAAAGTATATTAAAAATGAGTAGAATTTTAAGTAATTTGAGATAATTTTAAATTATGTGGATAATTGGTTAATTACCGGGTAACGGGACATTATCTAATTACCAAATAAGTTGGATAAAGATTAAAAATTCTCTCCCCACCCCCACATGGCAGCAAGCCCCTTATTAAGCAAATGACTCTTGGTCATTTCTTATTATGTGGCGTTCTAATACATTAATTACAAGACACCTCAAACTTTAAGACTTTCAAAACAACTTTACAATTATAGGTGGGGAAAACGTTAGCCATTCTAATAACTTTTCAAATTTCATTTTCAAAGACACTTCCATCAAATGCAAAACTCATTCCTAATATTTTCAATACCAAGACATTACAATCACAAGAGAGAAACGTTAGCAATTCTTCTTGCAACCAAACGATTCCAACAAGATTTCGCAATGTAAAATCTTGCGGTTCTAAAGGAATACGGTGAAATCTTTTCCAAGAACACCATACGGATTTTTCCCTACTCCAGGTATGTTAAGGCTAAGTTCTTCCTTCATTTTGCATGATATTCTAATTACACAAGTTTGATAACGAGGCATAAAGAAAAATTCATGTTCCGGAATTCGCGTATATTTTTCCTAGTCTTGTAAGTACAATATTACAGTATTTTCATTACCATCGAGCTATAATCAATGGGCAGGCCCCTATTGGGCAACCTCTGATCAGATGGTAAGTTATATACCGAGTCTACTGTGGCCGAGCACAACATGGCCGAGATACCAAGCCTAGTATGGCCAAGCGCCTTTGAGCGAACCTACTACGGTAGAGTGTGTATATATATATATATATATATATATATNTATATATATATATATATATATATATATATATATATATGCCGAGCCTTATATGGCCGGACAACTATTTTACTCACTATATTGAGAGTTGAGTCAATATCAGTAGGTGAACATATCTTTAGATATTCTTTGACTCCCAGTTGCTTTCAGTTATTATATTATCAGTTCAGTTTCTGCATTCAGTATATTGCCTTACATACTCGGTATATTATTTCATACTGACGTCCCTTTCTAGTGGCGTTGTATTTCATGCGTGCAGGTTCGGACAGACAGACGGGTAGACCTCCTCAGTAGGTGTTGCCCAAGTTCAGCTTTATAGATAAGCTCCCCGTCCTTCGAAGTTGCCGGGTCTAGAAGTTTGGTGTACATCTTGTGTATGTATGTAGATAGGTTATGGGTAGGTCAGGGCCCTGTTCCGGTCATAGTACATCCATCGGTAGAGGCTTGTAGACATATCCTATCAGTTAGTGCAGTATGTTGAGCTTGTAGACCCTGTACATATATTTTGTTGGCTTGTCAGCTATAGTAGATATGACGGCCTTGCCGGCCCAGCTTTATGTTGACATTTAGTCAGCGTTAGTCTCTATTCAGTTTTATATTTTACTTCACACATTATCTTGTAATGTGGCCCATGGCCAATTTATGAAATTACATGTTCAGAGTCTCTTAGTCGCAAGTGGTACGCAAGGATAGGTAAGGCACTGGGTGCCAGTCTCGGCCCCAGGCTTGGGTCGTGACAAAAGTGGTATCAGAGCAGTTCTGTACTAGGGAGTCTACAAGCCGTGTCCAGTAGGGTCTTGTTTATAGATGTGTGGTGCACCACATCATATAAGCAGGGGACTATAGGGCATTTAGGAATTGGTTACCCTTCTTTCAAATCTATATCGTGATGTAGCACTGAGTTATCGGAAATTCGAGTTAAACTTACATGTTGGCATTTGCGTGCACAGATGATGTAAATAGGAAGACTATGACTAGCCAGAGGAGAGAAAGAACAGTAGGTGAGGGGACTAGCAAGGTACCCTCAGTAGATGGGGCCCAATCGAAGGCCCAGGGAGGAACCCCTACCCAGCCATTACGGGCTCCTCCACCACCTGAGGAGATTCCTAGGGAGACCGCACATCCAGTTCCCCCTCCACTTCCATCAAATGAGGACTTGAGGAGTGCGGTGCATTTGTTGGCACAGTTGGTAGCTACCCAGCAACAGGCTAGGGCATCCACTAGTGTAGGACCTTGATAACTATGGATTCTGACGTGTTTCATGCTCCTTCTTGCTTACGCTTTGAGTATAAATTCTTACAAAATAGACCCAAAAGGCTCATAAGTGTGCTTGATTGCAGGTTTGATCAACAAAGTGACGAGATGTCAAGTATCGGCTCAACAAGGAGTGAAACCTGCACAAGTATCAAAGACAAAGAGAACTCAGGAAAAACTAGCCTAGTGCGGCCGCAGTCCACTTTGTGCGGTCCGCACTAGGGAGATTCAGAGAACTGGCAAATCAAGTGTTAAAGCAGTGCGGCCGCAGTGGAGATTGTGCGGTCCGCACTGAAGACTCCGCTGCCGCACTACCATTCTGCACGGTCCGCGGACGCCAACTTCAGAGAGATGTCCAGAGCCTATCATCAAGCCTATGCGGTCCTCGGTCGACTCTGTGCGGACCGCATAGCTGCCTCCGCGGCTGCGGTCCGTTCTGCGCGATCCGCGGAGCCTGAGTTCAGAGAAGTCAATTTGAAGAGTCAAAAGCCTAGTGCGGCCGCAGTTCATTTTGTGCGGCCCGCACTGACCCCACAGGGGTATTTTTGTCCAGTTTTTCCAGCTTAGTATAAATAGAACATTTTTCCATTTTTAGGGTAACCAGTTATTATCAGACATTAGCTGCGCTCGTGAGAAGCTATTTTTTAACCATTTTGGGCACTTTAACGTAGTTTTAGCAATTGAATCATTATATTTACTTTAGTAATTTAATATTATGTCTTTCTCTTCATCTATTTCTTTGATTTTCTCTTCAAGCATGAGTAGCTAAACCCATTAGCTATGGTTGTGGCTCAACCCTAGTGTGGGTAATTGATGGGTGTTGTAATTTAAGATTAGATTGATTATGGGTGTTTGTTATTTGGGTCAATTTTATGGTTTAATTTATGAATTAGTGGTTGCAAACACTAGTTTGTGCTTAGTAGACTTGAGCTCTTCTTGAGAAAGAGAGCCTAAGTCTCCAAAATTGATTCAACAAGGAATTGGGATGGACTCAAGAGATTTTATAGTCCCAATTAAAGGGTTAAACCTCGAGAGAGTAATTACCCGACTTGAACCCTAGTTGCTTGGGCAAATATGCATACCCAATTGGTCTCGAGATAGTCAATTGGGCAAAACCACTCTTCCTACCGAGAGGTGTAGAGTGGGTAGTATCGAGCAACGCTTATAACATATTTCCCCAATCATGTCAATCGTGCCTTAGATGCAATTACCCGTCAATTAGCCACCTAGGTGAAGGTCACTACCCTAGTGCCTTTTTAAACCATTAGATACAACTTGTAGCAACTTACACTTAGCTTAATCTAGTTGCATTTTCAATTAGTAGTTTAATTATAGTAGAATATAAAGAAAACCCCAAAAATTATGAAAAGACCAATTAAGAACACACACGCGATCCTAAGCTAAATAGATACTCAACTCCAATCCTAGCTCTCTGTGGATTCGATCCCGACCCAAAATCGAGTAAAAGCTATTGCGACCCTCTCTCGCTACTTTTTAGTGGTGCGGAGTTGGCAGCGACCAGACCTTCTGAGAGATCTGGGAGTTCAAGGGTCCGAGATTTTATTGCTTTGAGTCCCCCAGAGTTTACGGGGTCAGATCAGAGGGAGGACCAGCAGGATTTCATAGATCAGCTTCACAGGATCTTTCGGGTTATGCATGCCACGGAGAAAGAGGCAGTTGAGCTAGCAGCTTTTCGACTCCGAGATATAACCATCCTTTGGTACGGGGGATAGGAAAGGTCCATTGGACGTGATGCACTCTCGCTATTTGGGAGAATTTTTCACATGCCTTCCTTGACCAGTACTTACCGCGGGAGATCCGACAAGCCCGAGTCGATCAGTTTCTAGCCCTCAAGTAGGGCAATATAAGTGTTCGAGAGCATAGTCTCCGTTTTGGCTCATTGGCCATATATGCACCATCCATAGTTGCTACTATGCGGGACATGAT